GTTTATGCCAAGATTAATAACCAACAGTTGTAAATATATTTCAAACAACTGGAGGCTGAAGAGGAAACAGATCATATCAATGGATTTGTTTGTGAACCGGCTTGAATGCAACCATTGTGCACGGATTACAATTCAAGGCCATTTTTCTCTATTAGTTATGTTCTGGAAACTATAAATAATGTACTAATTTTAAAGGATTGCATGAATTGGCTCAGTCCACAGAATCTTCTACAAGTTCCCTCCAAACTAGCAAACAACGATCCTTTGAAGTTCATTCATATTTTTTCAGGATGATTTTCAACAAAATCTTCCTGCTACTAGAAGATGGAAAATGCACTTCTAGAATCCACAGGCACTGCACAGAAAACAGATCAATATTCTGCAATAATCTTTGCTTGACATGGAATCTGTAACTATGGTATATCATCTGACTGTCACAATACATCTACTATCCTCTTTCAGAAGCGCACTATGCACATTCAAGATAACAGAGATGATTGGTCTGCTGTCATGTTAGACCACACGGGTATACCCAAAGAAATCACAGAAGTCTATAAGAAAATGATCAATCTCACTCCTAGTTTAGCTCAATATCCTTTTCATGGGAAAAGCTATGCCATCGAGATTCACTCATCCTGCTCCAGAACATGAAGTTTACTATCATACTAATTTAGTATCACATAATAATTCTAAGAATGAAATAGACAGCTAGGGAAAATAATATGGGAGAAAAAAAATTCAGAAGAACAAGTGCACACAAAGGGCACACTGGTCTGCCTTGGATGATATTTGCAAGCCCATCTTCCTTCTCTATTGCTTTTTATTCTTGACTTCAACTTTTCATGTATCTGAAAACTTTTTAAAATTTTCGTATGAAATGCAGAGCTCTGACTCCCTGTGCAGGAGTGATTACTTGGGAAGAAAATTCAGTACAGTGAAACTGAATCACAGAATCAGAGAATGCCTGGGTTGGAAGGGCTCCAAGGCTCATCAAGTTCCAACCACCCTGCCACAGGCTGGGCCACCAACCTCCAGATCTGGCACTAGAGCAGGCTGCTCAGGGCCCCATCCAACCTGGATGTTCCAGGAGCATCCACAACTTCTCACGGCAGCCTGTTCCAGCACCTCACCACTCTCTCTGTAAAGAACTTCTCCTTGATATGCAGCCTAAATCTTCCCTCCCTCAACTTAAAACCATTTCCTGTGTCCTATCGCTGTCTACCCTTGCAGAAGGTTGATTCCCCTTCTTTTTATAATCCCCTTTTAAATACTGGAAGGCTGCAATCTGGTCTCCTCACAGGCTTCTTTTCTCTAGGCTGAACAAACCCATCTCCCTCAGTCTGTATTCATGGGGGAGGTGCTCCAGCCAGATCATGGCTCTCCTCTGGACCCTTTCCAACAGCTCTGCATTATTCTTGTACTGGGGGCTCCAGACCTGAACACCCTTCTTCTGATGGAGCCCAGGATACCATTGGCCTTCTGAGCTGCAAGAGCACACTGCTGGCTCATGTTAAGTTTTTCATCCACCAGGACCCCCAGGTCCTTCTCCACAAAGCTACTCTCAAGGAGTTCTTCTGTACATGTATCTGGGATTACTCCAACCCAAGAGCAAAACCTTGCATTTTGCTTTGTTGAACCTCATTAGAATCACACGGGTCTACCTTTCAAGTTTGTCCAGGTCCCTCTGGATAGCATCCTTTCTTTCTAACGTGTCAATGGCACCACTCCGATTAGATTGTATTCTCCCACTCAAAAGTCCCTATTCATAGCTTATGCTATATTCAAATCCAGTCTCTTTGAATTTGATATCTAAGATGTTGCCAGATTCTATCAGTATTTCCATTGTTTTCCCTTAAAACTTTGCATGCAGCTTATCCATACCTGCATCATATTTCAGGAGAGGACTACTTTAGTATTTCTTTGCCTACCCACTGGACATATTGGTTCTCAAACCTTCAATTCCTGTAACTGAATGCACAGGTTGCAGCCTTGTCTGAAAGCATATTTTTACTTCCTATAGAAACTGAACTGTATTTTTCCATTTCCTTAGCTCACCGGAATGCTAAAATGATGCAGTATGGATAGCTAGGAAGTTTATATATGTGCACAGAAACTTAAAAGCTCAGATGTAGGTCAATAAAGAAAAAAATATCGGTCTACCTCAGATCTTAAGAACATAAACAGTATTTTTAAATACAGTTTCTTATGTTGGACTTCTGAAAATAACTATAAAATAATGAATTAACAGTGTTTTCCCATATTACTTTTATATAAACAAAAGTCAGTAAACTGACATGCCAATGAGATCCTGAAACAAGGCAATACTTGCATAACATGGGAATTTTTCTCATAAAAATAATCAGTCTTATGTACATATTTCAATACCTCCCAAATCAAATAAAACCATTCTGATTCTATAAGTACAAGCAGCCACTCATATTGCCAAAACCCAGAGAACTTAAATGTAATGTTTTTTAAAAAATCAATTCATTTGCATGAAGAAGTTTAATGATATTGTCACTGATGCCGACATCTGATTTTAGGTCACAATTGCAGCCCATTTGCACTACACAGTTAAATCAGGAACTCCCCAGTTTAAAGTATGACCTCTAAAAGTTGACTAACCTTTCAGTATTGAAGCAGGAATGAGACAATTCAAAAATCCCATGAATTTGAGCTGAAGTTAGTTGTTGGTTTTAAACAGCTGGAGGGGAGGGAAAAGGATACATATCTGAAAGAAGTACATTGAGAGCAGCAGGATTCCCTTTTGAGAGAAATAGAGAGCAGTTAGTAAAAGGAAGCAGAATAAATCGTATGAAAAGAACTATGTTTGTAAAATGAAAGAGGAATGAAAACAGAAAAAAATGAGTCAATATAATAAGTCTTTATAGAGAGCAGAACAGAAAAGGCAAAAGGAAGGAAATTAGCAGAACTGGTAGTGCTTCAAAACTTCACATAGTCTTACTTATAAAACTGTAATTATTAGAATCATGTTGAAGTGTAAATCATTGTGGGTATGCTGTTACAGAATAAACTGACATGAAGGCTTTGGTAGTCTCATATAAAGCTGCGAGGCAGAGTCATTCAAACTCATAACAGCTCCAATGTTCTGACCAGAGCTGTGTTGCACAGGGCTATGATCTGAAATTTCAGAGAAACTCCCCTTACCTGTAACTGAACTGGACCCAGCTGTAGTTCAAAACGCAAAGGACAGCAGGCAGTGGTACTTTTGTCAGCATTACAAGTACAGATCGCTCACTGAATGAACCCACAAACATTAACATCATTTTGAACTTACACCCCAGTATTGCTCAGCTTCTCAAGACAAGGCAGACATCAAGCACTGCTCCAAGGACAGTTCTGTTCCAATCAAGAATAGTTTCAGTCTGACATCTGATGGGAAGCTTTTATGAGAAATATTTATTTTCTAGAAATTAGATGCAATCAGTAGTTCTGGTGAAGGAGTTAACTTCCTGCTGAAGCACCCAAAATATCCAGCCATCAAATGCTAAGATAATCCAGAACTCAGCCTTGATGATTGCATCCTGTATGCCCAAATTTGTATTGCAGTTTCAGCTTTATATAGCATGCTGTTACTTTATTTCTTAAGTAATTATGTGAAGATTTCCAAACTTCTGTGGTATATGTCTCATGTCACCTAAGGATTATGGGTTAGCATTGCTAATAAGAGTTGACTTGTCACCCAAAAGAGATATATTAGAACTGTGGTATCTTCACACTGGATAAGAGAAAACTCAGTAGGAAAGCCATGGGCATTACCTATAATGTTAAAAAAACCCCACAAAACAGTTTAAATAATTGCATTATTCTCTAAGCAGTACTACTGAATTGCTGTCATTGCCATGCTGAAGAAAAATCTTTAATTTCTACATACCTTTGTATGAGACTAATCTAGTATTCTGATTTATTCTATAATACTGGTAAATAACTGGAAACTGTATTGTACAGTCTTTGTATTGCACATGTCCTTCACACACCTTACTAGTTCTTGAAACAGAAGCCCTAGGACCAAGTTCTAACCAAATGGAGACAAAAGGCACTCATACTCTTCTCTCCTATGATGGAAAAAAAAGGTTGGATTTGCAAAAATTAGGAAAAGCATATGGTTGTTGAGAGCAGAGCAAAATGCTCACCAATCAGCCTGTCTGTGGAAAGGACACAGAGATACTGCGGAAGCTCCTGAACTCAGCAAGTTCCATTTCAAAGAGAAATCATCCCATCATTCGGTATACTTCCTCAGACATTTCTAGGACAACTTCTAGAAATGCTCCCTCGCTATGGGTGTGAACAAGAAGTACGATGTGGAATATAAATATGTACAGCTTATGCAAACAGAAATTGTAATCACACACTCCAAAAAGACGCAGGCCATCTCATTATCGTTGCCCCACAGAAACAAATGAATCATTACTGCAGAACTTCTTCAGAAGATAACAGGAGGACTTTGAGCCTGCCTCAGCACTGCATTTGGTTCAACATCTTATTTAATTTTCTTATAAAGCACTATCATCATCTAGTGGTATATTTTGCTTCCATGTAAACTGCATGTTTTCAGGAACAAAGCACTTCATTTACTTAGCATTGAATATGGCAGAGATTTATTTCCTTGAAGTTGTGCCAAACTGTGGAGGGATACAAGGAATGTAAAGAGAAGTAACATGAAATAACAACAAAACTGTTGAGGATTTCGAGAGCAAACAACATGTAGACATTCCACAAGATGAGAACTTCAATAATTTTATGTCCAAAAGTGATGACAGGCTAAATAAAAAATACAGCTTGAGGATGCTTCATACTATCACTCACACTATTCAGAAAGTATACAGGGTTGTGAACAAATATTTTGGGGAAAAAAAAAATCACAGAAAAATATTTTGAAACAAAAAGATTTTTCAAAGCTTTTTTCTTATAATTAAAAAGGTACCACAATTGTGAGAGTCCACTATTTATTATGAACACACAACTGGATGTTGACTTACGTGGTAACTTTTCAGTCTAACAAAATCGACTTTCATGGAGATGAATCTTTCTGAATTTCTGCTGAGATTTTTGATGTGCTCCACAAGGTCAGCGCAGAACTTGTAGCCACCTTTGAGAACACAGAGAACCACAATATCATTGTCTCCAATGTCTTGCATAATATCCTTAGCCAGTCGTTCTGTCCTGGGGCAAAAAAAAAAAAAAAGAAAAAAAGATGAAATAATGTTAGGTGTGCGTTCCCTAAGTTTATGGTATGCTTTCTTATGGTTACAAGGAAATAGAATCATAAAAATATTGCATGGCCCACAGTCTGCTTCAGCACCTTGACTTGGTTTGAGTGGGACTGAACAACAGGCAGATATGCAGGCTGGATGCAAGACGCAAAGGATGTGAATCAAGCTGGATATGTTTAAATTTATTAATCTCCTAATTATATAAAACGAGTAGCACATCTCACTGTGTGCTGAATTCACAAGCACTTCAGAGACTTCAGAGTAACAGGTGAAACACTGCATTCAGTTTTGTCATGGAGGAAACTTCAATATAAATTATTTCTGTAAAACGACATACCTGATTATTTTATTTGCTACCTGAGAACACTAAATCAAATGAAAGAGAGGGAGGAGAATTATTAAAAAATATTTCAAACTGACAGGCTTTGGAGAATGCTACAAGTACAGTTTTAATAAGAATATAAGCAAGTACTATAAAGACATATCTCATCAATAAAAATTTTATGTAGAGTGCAGTGTAAGTGCCTTGTTCTCGGTCACACACATGAGAATAATCAAGGTTATGTTCTGATTAACCTGCAGTTGCAGGGTCTTCTCTTCAGTTATTCTGCATTGCAAACACAATGTGGCAGATTGAAACCAAAAGACACAACATTTCTGCCACTAGTACAGAACAGAACTAGTACAGAATTTTTCAAGATGAAAACAATAAACTTGAATGTTCATCTCAAATAGTTTTCATTTCTAAAGAACAAGGTAGAGAGTATTTTAGATCTAAAACAAATACCTGGTCACTGCTAGAGGTAAAACTCAGATCAACAGAAAACTGAAAATGCCATTTAATGTTCTGAGCAAGAACAACTCAGTGCATTGTTTTCTGTAGAAGCTTTTTTTCTGGAAAGTTTTTTGATAAGTCTCTGGATTAGATTAGTAGATTCAATAATACATTTCTTGGCAATACGTAATTTATCAATAGATAAATCCCATAATTTATCCTGCATCTTTCATGATCATACTTTTTTCTCTACCTGCAATAGAAATGTGTTTGCCCCTATATGTACATATACATTGAACTTGAGTGAAATCTACACATATGCATGTACCAGCGAAGAACAGACACTAAACTGAAGCTAACAGACTAGTTATGAGCCAGCATGACATGTTTTCACATCTTTGTAATGCTCAAGAAAATTATGTAAAGCAATAATTCATATTTTTAGATTCAGAAAACAGACATATTGTGAGATTATCTTGTTAGATCTTAAACATGTAATTCTTTTTATTGAAGTACAGACCAAGATTAGTAAAAGTTTTTCACTTATTTTTTCATTAAAAAAGTCTTTTGTCATCTCTTATCAAGTCTGAGAGTTATGGGGAAAACTTTTTATTCAGAAGAACCATTTTTCTGATGATATTTATTTATATTATTTCTTAGATTGTCTTAGGAAATGAAATTTACAAAAATTCCAAAGACCTGTTAGTATTTTAAATGAGTATGAACTCCAGAGCAGACAAAAATGTACTCAGTAAAAAGACGCCAGTTTTTAAACCTACATACAGAGAAACAAGAAAATTTTCTCAAGTGCTGAGCCTTCTTCCTACAGGAAAATTTTGCATGGTCACAATATATTCAATTCTGTTTTCTTGTCCATCAGAACAGAATGAGCCTTTTCTGGAAGAGTACAAAAATACAGTGGAATTCATTTTGCTGGAGTACAAAAACACCAAATACCACTGTTACTTCAGACAAATTTATAGTGAATCCCATGAGAAATAAAGTAGTAACATATTTATTTAAAAAGATGAATCAAGAGTCAGTTGGCCTTACACAAAAAAAGACAAAAAAGTCAACACAATGGTAGCTGAAAAGGTGATGAAAGAGAGCTTGTGTTTGAAACAAATATAGGAGTTATTACTCTTCCTTAAGATGAATGTTTACAACCTTCTTTCAAGGAGTTCCAACAATTTTAATACTTGCAACTGGCTGTTTAAATGCGGAAGGTAGAAAGCTGCAGATTAAAAATCTCCCATGAAATCCATTCAGACTGGTTGGACTAGATGATCTAATCAGTCTTTTCCAATCTAAATGATTCCATGATTCTATGCTCCCAGTACTTTCTTAAAAACTACCATTTTTCATTTTGTAATTTTTGAAAAGATTTTTAACAGCATATCAAATTAACAACTGAGTATCAACACTGAGTTGGACTACCACAAATATCAAAGCAACTTAGCTGCATGCACTGAGAGCATACAGGAACTATTACTAGGAGATATGATGGTTGATGAAGCCTAGGCAGGCTGGCTCTCTACACAGCTTAAATGACAGAAGTCAATGGTGCAGTCTGGAACAATCGGGTTAGTCTACATTAATGATTTCTATCAGGGAATTCTCAAAATTGTACTCAATTAAAGATTTTTTTCTCTCTTTTTATGTAAAAAACATGCTAAAGGATGCAAGAGAAACATTCAAGTATTACTATGTGCAGAACTTTGTATTTGTCCTTCCTGTGTCTGTTCATCCCTCCTGTACACTGGCACTTCAGCACCAGTGTCTCTATATGATCACATTCTCTTTTTTGTGGGAATCCTGTACCATTCAGTGTCCAAATCAGAAGCTACGTGAAACAAATTACACAATGAGTTGCAAGAGACAGCAAGTCTATCATTTCTTAACTGTCAAGCAGTATTTTTACATCCCAAATTAAAGAAATAAATGTATAATACAACATATTAGGACAAATGTTATATATACACTGCCTGCAGATAACACGGATAACAAAAAAGAATTCTAATACTGACCAAAGTATTTATTTAATAACAAAAAAAGCCACACATACCTGTCAACAATAATGCCATGCGGAATAAGCACGTATTCCAAATCTCCATAGTAGTGCTGTGGATAAGTGAACAAATCCAGACTGTATCCAGGCCAATCATCTGAAATCTGAATATTAAATAATACTGTTAGGAATACCCAATGGTGTTTGACAGTATATAACTGATATAAACTCATTCGTTTAATACACTGGACTGAAATAATAGAATGACACACACTCTTCCATATATGCTGACACGTAAAAAATAAGCTTCAAAATTATGTAATCAGAAATTATTATTTCATTTTTTCTACTCATTACTTTGCTTTTGTATACCTCAGAAATTAAGTGTTAGTCAGGTTTTTGTTTTGTTTTGTTTTTCCAAAGAACATGGGAAAATTCACTTGAGTTACAGTTAGATATAGAGGGGAAATAATACTGAACTAGAGCAAGTCTAAGTTTCTTACTACTTGCAAACCGGAAATACAAATGTAAGATTTCCAGAAAGAAAGGACTCTGCAAAGGCAGATTCAGACAGTGGGCTTGGAAGTTATAAAATCATAAATTAAAAGCATGAATTCTGCTTTAGAGGTAGTGTAAAGCCACATATTCTATAGACAGAGCAGTACATATAGTAAATTATGTGCTTCATGGACTGTATTCATAAAAATCAGTGAAAGACTGTCTTGCCAAAAGCAAGGTTCCTAATTTAAGTAAGTCATCAAAGATAAACTTTTACCAAGAGTTCATGTGTCACCTCAGTATCAGCTAGTCTGTAAACTCACACATTTACAGCAAAAAGTATTTTAAGATTTAATACACATTAGCTTCATAACTGTCAGAGTACAACAACTATGAGAATACAATGGTAGTAGAGATTATATAAGGCAAAAATCAGCCAGGCAAAGTTATCAGTAGATTCCTAAGAGAAAAAAGATGCTACAACTCCTCACCAACAATTTTCACAATACAGTTCTGTATGAAAAACAAGACCTGCAAGTTAAAAATCTTTCTTGGAATCATAATTAAATTTTGCTTTAGTATTGGTACATAGATTCCAGTCTGTACAGATATGTGTAGAGACTGGGAGAAGAACCCATAGAGAGCAGCTCAGAGAAGGACTCGGGGATTCTGGTGGATGAAAAGCCAGATATGAGCCAGCAGTGTGGAAGGCCAACAGTATCCTGGACGACATCAAAAGAGGGGTGGCCATTAGGGTGAGGGAGGTGACTGTCCCCCTCTACTCTGCCCTTCTGGGGCCCCATCAGTAGTACAGCAACCAGGTCAGGGACTCCAAGCACAAGAAAGATCTGAAACTGTTAGAGAGGTTCAGAGGAGGGCCATGAAGATGATCAGAGTGCTGAAGCGCCTCTCCTATGAAGAAAGACTGAGGGAGTTAGGCTTGTTCAACTCGGAGAAGGCTCAGGGAAACTGTACAGTGGCCATCCAGTACATAAAGGGAGCTTATAAGAAGGATGGAAACTGAAAATTTACATGGACAGGTAGTGATAGGACAAGGGGGATTGGTTTTAAACAAAAAGAGGGGGGATTTAGATTAGATATTAGGAAGATATTCTTTACTCAGAGGGCAGTGAGGCACTGGAACGCCCAGAATGCCCAGAGGAGCTGCGGATGCCCCATCCCTGAGATGCTCAAGGCTGAGTTGGATGGAGCCCTGGACAGTAGGATCTGGTGGATGTCAATCTTGCCCACAGCAGGGAGTTGGAACTAGAAGGGATTCAAGGTCCCTTCCAACCCAAGCCCATGACTTCTAAATGCCGGTCTCTGAAACTAACCTCTACTTACAATTTCATCCAGTAGAGCAACAAACCATGACACTAAGATACCTAGGCTAACATGGCATACTTGTTTCTGAGCTGTTCCTCCACATCTGTAATCTTGTTGAAGTTACCTGCAGTGCTGTGTAGTGCTGCATGATAACAGTGCTACATCTCACAGATTTTTGGTTGGTTGGGTTCTATTCCACATCCGTGGGCAACTACAGACACCCATACCATCAGGTGTTCTTAGCTCTGCACAATAGTTTCTGTATTAAAAAATAATAATAATAATAATAAAAAAAAAACCAAACCAAACCAAACCAAAAAGCTTTGTTGGCAACTAGTATGCATGCGCATAAAGTGCATGACTCAGAGATCACTGGAATCAATGAAAGCTTTTCCTGACTTACACAAGCCTTGAGACTACACATAGGAAAAAAGTTATTTAGTTATGTTCCTCGTTTCCACAGAAACAGGAGAGTATAAATATACTCCTCAGCAAGAATTTTAATGAGGCAAATCTTGCTTCAAAAACATTGCCGCTGAAGGCCTGGGAAGCCTATTTTCCTGTCTTCCTTCTCAGGGCATAGAGGTGGCTGACACTTACTTAAATATTTTGTAGCAATGAACTGTCTGGCACAGTCCTGCGCAGAAGCACTTTAACATAAAAGGAAACAATTTCATGTAGTGATTTGAATTACGTAAGAGCTATAAGCTCTCACAAAAAAATTCCAATATCAATTCTTTAAGTCAGTTTCACTTCTTTACACATCTTTCTCATCAAATTATATGTTTCTAAACATGGTGCACATCACACGAAATGAATTGAAACTGCTTCAGAATTCATACAAATAGACATCTCTTACTCAAGTTAGAAACTATCCTTTCTGAAACAGCATCAGTATGAGACCTTTATGCTTTTATCTATCCTTCCAGTTCTCAGGAATAAAAAACTAGAATAAAGAAGTTCTTTACAACTGTCCACTGGCTTTTGGCAAATAAAATTAAATTCATAGGTACTTTCTAATTAATTGCTTTGTAATATAATAAGTCCATTCCATAGTCTACTTTCTTTTAGACTGACATTTCCCAACAATATGCCTTAGAAAATCTGATTTATCCCAAAGCTAATCAGAGTGTTATGCTGTAGGACAATTTTCAGGTAACTGCCAATTTTGATGAGCATTTTGCTTGTGAACTGTGTGATTACCCTCAGTAGCAAAAAAAAAAAAAAAAAAAAAAAAAAAAAAAAAAAAATAAGTAAATCTCAAATTAAATTCAACTTCCATTCCATAGAGTCTCAGCCTCATTAAGGTTGGAAAAGACCACTGAGATTATCTAGTCTAACCATCAAACCATCTCCACCATGCACACCGAGCCACGTCCCTCAGTGCCACATCTACACAGTTCTTGAACACCACCAGGGACAGTGACTCCACCACCTTCCTGGGCAGCCTGTGCCAATGCACTATCACTGTTTCTGAGAATAAATTTTTCCTAACATCCAACCTGAACCTCCCCTGGCACAGCTTGAGGCTATTCCCTCTCATCTTATCTCTGTTACTTGGGAGAAGAGATCAACCCCCACCTCAGCACAGCCTCCTTTCAGGCAGTTGTAGAGAGCTGCAAGGTCTCCCCTTGTGCCTCTCCAGATCAAACAACCCATATCCCTCAGCCACTCCCCATAAGGCTTGTGCTCCAGATCCCTCACCAGCTGTGTTGCCCTTCTCTGGACACACTGGGGACTCAATATCTTTCCTATGGTAAGAAGCCCAAAACCAAATACAGTGCTCAAAGTGCAACGAGTATTTCCAGCTTTAATCCTTGAAAAACCTAAGGAAAATTTTTGATTGTTTTGACCAGATAAATAAACATAGATACTAATTATATTGGTACACAAATGTGTTTAAAAAAACCCACAGTGAAAGAAGCAGCTATTTCTTAAGTTCATGTTCCGCATGTTCAAGCAGCCCAGGAAAAATTTCTTGGTGAGTCTTCACAAAGCTGATCGAATGTACACAAATAAGAATACAAAAACACATGGCAAGATCTGAAAGACTTCCTTTGAGACAGAAAAGAGAAAACGGAGAAATCCTACTGAACTACTTTCGGAGGAACACTGCTGGCTTTGTTGTCCAACCAAGTGGGCACACAAGGGGCTTAGCACAGCTCTTCCCTTAAAGTAACAAAGGCCTGGGTTCTGCTTTGGTACGAAATAAGACAGCTGAGCACCAAGCAAAATCCGTGTTTTGTAAATGCAAATCCTTCTCCCGGTAGTTTTTGGAAGGGTACCAAGCAAAAGACACAAAGTCAGTGCAGCGAGGAACATACATCTCTGCCGTAGCACTCTCTCGCACATTACGACAGGCACTGACCATGGCAGAGACCACCGGGAGAAGGCAGCGGCCGCAGCTCAGCCCAGGCGCAGCGGCGGTCAGGGTGCGAGCGCCGAGCCGCCGCCGCGGGAACATGAGAGCGTTCCCAGCGGGGTGCCAGCGATACCGCGCAACTCCGTGTCTGTTTCATAGGATAAATTCACTTGCGCCATGGAACAACGAGCACATTCCTTCACTTCTGCGTCATTCATTCATTCCCACTGCGCTCAAGCGCCTTTCTGAGGTGCTCGCTTCCTCCCGCCACGCAAGGGCGCGGAGCAACGTGACGGTGCTTCCCCACGGGCCCGCACCGCGCCAAGGCAGCCCGGCATCGCGGCGGGGGCCGGAGCGGCTCTATGGACACCTCGAGCTCCATTAATCAATACGTTCTGTCAAAGCCACGGCACGAAGCGGGGCTCGGAGCCGGGGCAGGGCCGGGAGCGAAGCAGGGGACCGGCCGGGCCGAGCGCAGAGCGGGCGGGAAGGAAGGAAGGGGCGGCGGGGAAGCGGGAGGGGTCCCGAGCGGCCGGGCCGGGCCGGGCGCCGCTTGCATTTACCACAACGCCGCGGCCTCCGCCTCCCCGCGCCGCCGCGCCGCTCCCGCCGTGCCCGGCCATCTTCCTCCGAGCCCGCCCGAGGGGCTGCGGCGGGGCGGAGTCGAGCAGGGCCGGGCCGTCCGGTGCCCCCGGCCCCCGGCGGGAGGTGGGCGGCAGAGGGAACGGCTGGGAGCCAGGCTGAGGGGCGAGCCCCGGTGTAGGCCGCGGAACTGGGGGTGTGCGTCCCGATCAGCGGCTTTCGGAGAGGAAGTACCGTGATGCACGCGTTAAAATGTGTGCCGTTCCGAGAGAGGAAACGGCGGCGCGTGCAGAGCTTTGTCTATAAAAGGCGGTTGGAGATGGAAGGCGCCTGGAACTGTCTGAAGCTTGAGAAGGGCAGCGCTGCCGGCGGGCTGGGCAGGAGCGAGGCACCGTGCTGGAGATGTGGGTGCAGCCTCATAAGGGGCCCGGGCCGAAGGAGCGAGGTGGATAAGATTAAAGCGGTGTGGCTTAAACGGACGGTTTAACAGGTTTGCACTTACACTCTAGAGAAGGAGAAAAACGAACAAAAAAAAACCCTGTCAGGGATTTTACTTTCCATTTTTTGCTGACTTCTGATGCTCTCCCCCAGCACCGCAATGGTGTTGGAGTAAGCAGCATCTTCAGGAGCTGGACTCGATGATCATTACAGGCCCCTTCCTATTCGGGATATTCCATGATTCTCACTGCCTTCAGCCCACTGCAGCCTTTTCCATGCCGTGTGTTTTCATTAGATGGGAAGCAGAACAGGAGCCACCCTCCTGCCTTCCCTCCTCTGCTTCTCTAAAATTGTATAATGCTGTCCTTTCACAGTCTTACAGATGAGAAAGGTCTTGCATCCTTGAGGTTGCTCTGAGCATTGCACACCTTTAAGTTTCTTTTTGCATCCCATCATGTGGGGAACATCCTAAAAGTCCCTCCATCCATTGCAGGTAGACACAGGGGGTTTTTTTGTTTGTTTGGTTGGTTTGGGTTTTTTTGAAAGTATTTTATATTCCTAAAAGTGAGATTTGGTTATATTTTTACAGAATTTATCTGTTAAATATAGAGCCCATAGAATTCTGCCACTCCTACACTAGAAACTATTAAAGGAAGAAAAAGTTGGTTTTAGGGACCTGGGCATAATGAAATATGTTTACTTTTACCTGAGCAGCCATTACAGACCAAGCAGGAAGACATTTTAGTTTGCACACTGCTTTCTGTAATATAGTCCAAAAGATTCAGAGGCCCCAAGTCATAACAGATGGACCCTGACAACTGGATGCATCAGGCAAACCAGGTGCCTGGTATCCAACACGGGTTGCTTTTTAGGTGCATATTACTTCACTCCCACTTGCATTAGAAGTGATAGGACAAGTAATAGTTTAGGAATCTGGTGTTAAGAATATTTTAATGAATTAATCTACAATTACAGTCTGGATAAGTACTACAATAAAAGACCTTATTATAGATGCTTCGGTTCTTATGTGAAGTCAAACCTGTGTGTTTCTTAGTGGGTTAAGAATCTACTCTTAACTATTGCTACAACTGACAACATGTGTCCAAGAACAGAGGTTCGTGTTTACAAAGTGACACAGGCCAACTCCAGAATGTGTCCATCTTGGAAGTGATCCCTCCACACCAACACTGAAGTATCCTGCAAAAAGGTGGTCCACAGTGCATTAAAATAAATTTCAAAAAAGTTAGTGAATTTGATAAAGAGCATATAAAGATGTGCACAAGCCCACATACATAGATTAAATAAAGTTATTTTCATAAAATATATAGGAGATCTTCATAATGGGCAAAATCCCTAAATACTTCTGTATTTTGATTGCATATCAACATTTCATAGATCTATTCAGAAATAAAGTCTAATTTTTCATCTAAACTTTGTGCCCACAAGCACTTTTCAAGATCTGAAGATTCTTCTCGCTTGGAGGTGGGCAAGAATCCCTTTGCCATCAAGCAAATGCAATCTGATTTAGTTCATATCC